ATGTATGCGTGTGTGTAAGCGTCTATACACAATACCGGTTCTAAATTAGAGTTATCAAAAAGTTAAAGTTAGGCTCTGATCATCAACGCCTAATGACCTCAAAGAAAGCATTGGTACAGTCACAGTCATTGAGAAATTATGTAGATAGACTATTTTTGATTCGGCTTACAATTTTAGCAAGATATATCAGCCTAAAACTTTACGACTGTAGTTACCACATTAGAGGAAAATTAGGAGCTCGCGGGAGAGAAAAATAAAGAAATACTTTTAAATTTTAGTCCGTAAATGGCAGGTCAACATGCAATAGGACAGCATAAGCCCAATTATGGTTTTAGTTGATCATGAGGGATAAGAATGAAATAGGTAGGGATAAGACTTCCTGTAGCAGAAGTGAATTTGCAAGCAATTTTACCAAGGTGCTTTCTATCTAAGAACCCAAAAGAAGCAATAATGAGAATGTAAAGCTTACCAAGTTCCCAGCACTTTGGGCAGGGCGAAGAATATTGCCATCTCGTTTGCCATCACATGAGAATCGTGATCCGAATTTCCATCGAGAGCTATTTCTAGGTCTGGGGCCGGATTTTTCTGAGCGGCGCCAAGGTGCCGTAGATTCAAATAGAGAGTTATTACGTCTTGAAAAAGGGTTATTTGAACAGAAGGATAGAGTTTCTGAATCATTGATGCTTCCAGCCAAGTCCACCTTAAAGTTGAGCAAATACATAATGTCTGATATAGGATAAGTAAGTCGACTTGGATACAAATTAATAATGAACTTCCTAAGATATATATTTTCAAATTGGTCAATGAAAGAAGAGGAAAATGAAGTAGAGATATTAAATCGAAGGTATAAAGACAAAGCTGATGTGGCCATTTGCGTGATCACAGTCTCCTATCGTTGTATTGAGGTTGTTTGACCTGGTTTTCGCAACTTGGTCATATTCGTAGGAAGACTTAGACGAACGCACCCAGTCCCGAGTCCATTGTATGCATGATAATTGGCAAAGTCGGACCGTGGATGTGGCACATTCCAAAGACGTTTCGCCGGCATCGTAGTCAGCATTGCCAGTGAGTCTTACCATTCCTAGCACCACACAACAACTCGTCAAAGAGACAAGTGAAGCTGATCATTTGACAAAACGTGTGCAAAACAGTTGTGATATCTCCCCTTCTGCCATAAGCTATTCAAATTTAATATATGTTCCTATCACGCCTTCACTCTTACTATTTTTACCGTGCATATATAGATGTAGTGTGGTGTGCTCCTTTGAGTTTCATTTATGAAAACCCTTCACACTCCACGCTGTTGTTCGCACCTACTTCACCTTTGTGCTGGGAATGTGGATCAGTCTGCCATATTGTTACGCAGTCCTCCTTTCCTAGGTCTTATCACAGTCTCTATCTTGCCCCGTAAGATCCGTCTGCTATATCCCTGGTTCACGTATTTCACTTTACCCCTACCACCCCATCTATGCTATCCGAGGCGTTATTCGCCCTCCCCTGCGTCTGGGTGACTAATTCGAGACTAAAGCCTCTGAGCTAGTATTATCGTCAAGTTTTTGTTACATGGACCACGTATATAGTAAAACCTATAACTAGATCCAGTTTCCGCCGCGTCTATCATATTTATATTCATAATATCAAGTCTATGACTTGCTATGCCTTTGTCTCTTGTGTGCTAACCCAAAAATGTTGTGGTACTGCTTGCTTTGATTAAGTTCAATGTTGAACCACAACGTTTGTGGATTGGCATACAAGAGACTAGGGCATAGCAAGTCATAGACAATAGTCACGATTCAAGGATCACGTCTATGATCAAACACGACCATTTTTAGCCAAATAACGTTAGTCTCCATCGCGTCTTTCCTCTTTCTATCTCTAATACCATGTCCATCACTTCCTACGTATTAATCTCTTGTGTGCCAACCCACAAATGTCGTGGTTCTACATGTCTTTATAAGACTTACTGAAGACGTCTTCTCTTTGCTTCCGATTGTTTCTTTCTATTCCCCTTGCGATCTCTTTTCCTAAAATTAAGGATATTACCTTAATCCAGTCGTCTTCTTTTTGCTGAGCTTACTATTTCCTGGTCTTCTGCGAGTATGTTTAGGCTATATGCAAAGTTTTTGCTGATCCTGCCTTCTTCAAGTCTTCTGTTCATTAGATCTATCTCGGTCAGAATATAGATGGCCTCTCGGATCTTGCCTTTTCTCGTATTTCACCATATGCAGCCAACTTGTCGGTTGATTTCCAGTCGATTTCGTACCTCGTTCGTGCAATGTTTTCCCTCATTTCGGATCTTTCTATATCCATGTTCCTGCAGAGTCTTTGATGTTCCCTGATTCATGGGCCGATTTTTTCCCTATGTTTCACCTATATACTTCTGCTCACAGTTGCCTCATTTGATCCGATAAACTCCCGAGCAATCAAGTTTGTCCGTCTTCTCGTGTTGCGTCAGCAGACTGGTAAAAAGTGTTTTCTTCTCCTTTGTTATCACCTTGATATTCTATTTCCTTAGTAACGGTCGTATTTGATGGCTCAGTTGTGATAAGGGCAGACAAATCCACTTCTGATCGTTTTCCTGATTCCTGATCTGATTTTCATAAAATCCGAGTTGAAATCTGTCCTTTATAACCTATAATTTTTTTTTCTATAAATTCTCTTGGGTATCCGTTACTAAGGCAAATCTGTGTCAGTTTGTCAAACTCCTTGTCCCAGAACTCAGTGACCGTTAGTCGTAAGCTTCTGTTGATCAAAGACCTCAGTATTCCGAGATTCAGTCTGTATTTATGGTGAGACGGAAAATTAAGGATTATTCCCGCATATGAATTATTTCTGTATAGTCTCCTCATGAGTGTCCCTTTGGATCACATGACTTCAATATCCAGAAATGGTAGTCGAAATATTGACCGAGATCTAATTAACATAAGACTTGAAGAAGGCAAGATCAGAGAAAACTTTGCATAAAGCCTAAATAAACTCGGAGAAGACCACACAACAGTAGGATCAGCAAAAAGAAGACGACTGGATCAAGATAATATCCTTAATTTTATGAAAATAGATCGCAAGGGGACGAGAAAGAAACAATAGGAAGTAGAGAGGAGAGGAGGCTAGTCAAAACAAGGAGAACCACGACAATTGTGGGCTGGCACACAAGAGACTAGG